GTTGTTGTTGTTGTTGTTGTTGTTGTTGTTGTTGTTGTTGTTATTATTTTAACTTCAACAGTTGCATTTTATTAAAGTAGGCCTATGTCCTTACAGCATGAAGGATTGACTGCAGGAGAGCTTCTTCTGCAGTCACATACTGACACCTGGTGTTGAACACAAGTACTACAGTTTGTTCATCCCTGGTTTAAGAATCACATGAACCTTTAATCATTTCTATATTTATAATTCTATAATTACAGAAGCACAAATGTTTGTCTTTCTAAAGAAAAAATAAACAAACATACAGTTTAGTCATGTTATATTTGAACTTTTTAAATCATTATATCACTTTTATAATGCAGAAACTGCACAGCGTTACTACCTTCTGTACCAACATGCATTATGTTAACAAAGACACCTGATTTTTCCCTTATTGCCTTATAAGTATGAAATCTTTTCATCCCTTCTATTTGACGTAAACCCAGCAGGCCCCTCAGCTGGCAGCACAGCTAACATTGGAGCAGATAAATGAATGACACAAATACCGCTGTTTTTAGAAGCCCTGCTGAAAGCTTTGCTGCAGTGTGCTGGATCTTTTTTTCCCCTCTGTTGGTTCATTATCAACGACTGAAGATGCTATATATAAGCACTATATATTTATTTAAATAGAAAACGCCTGCAGCTGAGTCAAGAACCAGCAAAAGGAGGCCAGAAACAAAAGATGCCGTTTTTTTAAGGGATAAAAGGATGAGGGGGTGAGGGAGGAAGGGAGGTGGTGGTGGGGGGGTTACATTCATGACCAGAGTTGGCATGAGCTGAAAACGAGGAGAGAGAGAGTGACTTAAAAAAAAAAAAGCAACGCAATTTTGGAAGATTTGTGTTTTTTGTATAAAAATCTGACTCATCAGCACACGGAGAGGAGCAGGAATCAGCTGCAGAACTATTCTTCTAACGTTTGCTTCCAGTAAAAATCAGTGAAGTCTTCAGTTCAGTGGATGTAAAGCTAACCTTTTTTTTTGTGGCCTCGGCATGTTTTTCTTCCAGCTCGTCATCATGTCTGGCACGGTCCTGTTGGCCTACTACATGGAGTGCACGGACCTGTTCGGCGTGCACGTGCAGGGCTTCTTCTGTAATGACGCCGAGCTGATGAAGCCATATCCCGGCACGGAGGAGTCCAGCTTCGTCCCGCCCCTCATCCTCTACTGCGTGGTGGCAGCTACTCCTACAGTTATAGTGAGTAAAAAAAAAAAAAAAAAAAATCTGTCATAAGACTTTTTCCAATTTGCTGTTTTTTTCTGTTGTATTTTAAGAGCTCAGCTACAACATGCTTTTACTTGCATGTCTTCTCCCATTAATCCGTATTTTGAACTTCACATTGTTTGCTAATTGAGAAGCTACTGAATTGGTCTGAGCTAAAAAAGTACAATTAAAAAAGGTAAAAAAGATGTTTAACTAATAGTCACTGGAAAACGCAAGAAAAATATCAAAAACTGCAAACTGACCAGGCACAAGAAGTCATTTTATGAAGTTACCACTTTAGGCAGATATAATTTTTTACAGTTCTTGCTGCAGAGTTAAAGTCAGTTCATCAGTATAATAAGAAGGGTGGTTCTGCCTGTTGAGTAGAGCAGATAGTGTCACAATTCTCTGTCTATGATCAGCTGGAAGGGAGAACAAAGAACAAAGTCGGRCATCTTTACCAATTTGCTCAGCTTCTTTGTATCTGGTTTTTGATGCTGCTGCCTCAACAGATGGCTGCAAGAAAAGAAAAAAAAAGAAAAGAAGAATGCACTCACTTTTTGGAATCCATCTCATTTTTGTACTTTCAGTTCAGTTTATCCTCTAAGATTCAGGCATCTTTAATTCTTCCTCACATCTTCTCCAGGGAAAGTGTTGGGTGTTTTTTATTCCCTTTAATCAAAATGAGATTACAGTTTCACATCATGCAACTGAATGGTTCACCAGTTCTGTTTACACTATTGACCATTTACCAGACATGCAAACGATAACTTTGACGAACCATGAGAGTTAATCAGCATGCAGAGGGCTATAGGGCAATGCCACTGTTAAATCAATAGTGTAACTAATTACTGCTGTGTATTGTGTCATTTAAACATATTAAAAGTGGACAGAAAATCCATCCAGCCAATTATTTTCTTTACCCACTTTTCCTTTCTGGGTCACTGGAATCCAGCAGTCACTGTGTGAGAGGCGGAGGGGATACCCTGGACAGGTCGCAAGTCCATCACAGGGCCACAGAGAGACAAATGAGACAAACATCATGTTACATTTTAACTTAACATGCAAATCAGAAAACACACGTGAATGAAACTCCACCCAGAAATGCTCCAGATCAGGAGACGATCCTGTGAGCTGCTCTGAACAGGAAATCAATAAATCTTTTCTTTTTATTTTTAAGAAATGTATTTTATTCTTCTTTCGTTTAAAGCTCAGTAACTGTGATGTACTGTATAAAAAATGCATTGCATTTTTTTGAATGTTCTGATGGAAGTTGCAGCGGTTCACCACCAGGTGTCAGTTTGGCTCCATGCTTGTTCATTTATCAGGTAGCAGCAGACAACACYTGACTCTGGATTCCTTGGTAAGACTATTAATAATCATACACAATGCATTTTATTTTCTTTGCATTTAATTTAAAAGAGATATATATTTTTTGTTTTTCCTTAGTTTAAGTGGCTGAACTTGATGTGGAAACAATCTTGTAGAAAAAAAGGCTCGAGTGGATTCTAAATAAAATGTTACGGATTCTACATACCTGTTGAGCTTTGCTCGTGCAAAAATGCAGAAATGTTGATGATTTTGGGCTGTATTGGATCATTGGTTGATTCATTGATTGATGATGCCTTTATTGTCATTGTATGGAGCACAATGAAATTACGTTTAAGAACACCCGTTCAAGAAGACACACATGACAAAAACATGGGGGACCAGGTGAACAGGTCATGCAATAACCAGCAGATTAATTAAACATTCTTGTTGTTACTTTTTATTTTAGAACATTCTGAAGAACAAWATAATGAAACTCACTTTAGTGTATGGAAATGAAAACTACAAATAAAACTACTTTATTTCCCTGAATCTCTCAAACATTTGAGACATTAAATGTTTTCCTTTTACATTAATAAGCGACTTTCCACTCATGTCTTTTAAAATATAATAGTTTGTTTCTATAATAGCTAAAAAAGTTAATTTCACATATTTTGCTTTATAATTAAACAAATTAAGCCTATTTAGGTTATCATAATGAAAGAATATAAATCATTAGACTCATTCTCATTTTAATTGTTAGTAATAAGATTTATTCTCTCTTTAATTTTCATTAAACAGCTGGTTTTATATGTCCATGTTTTTGTCCTTTCATTGTTAAAATAACAGAACTGAATGAGCAGATTCATTGAGTCTGCTCAGCATTTTAACAGAAAATGGGGAAACTTTGATATTCGTCTTGTGATTTATGAAGCGTAACAACTTCATTTTCATTTACTTATTTTTGAGCTGGGGCACAGTCTAGCACGATAAATARGTTTAAAATTTGATGCATAGAACAATAATTGGTTCACATTATTTTGCTTGTAAAAATGTTGTAAACACATCCAGTGTCATTTTTCCTTTTATTTTAGTCTGACATAAAATCCTAGTAAAGTACATTTTATGTTAGTGGCTGTGATGTGACAAAATGTGGAAAAGTTGACTGCTTTTTAAGGCCCTGCCTGATGGCAAACTTTATGAACAGTGGAGGGACATGGTAAGAGTTTACAGCAGTACGTTTAGTCATATTTTCTTATCCAGGTTTTACCTCCTTTCAAGCAGGCACCTAATCATGGGTATAATTGTTAAAGCTGTCTGAGTCCCAGACACACAGGACACCTGTTCACTCGCAATAAGACATTTGTGTCCTGCTGTCTCCTTGTGTCTTGTGTGTTTTTTGTGTACATTCACATTAAGTGGGACATTTAGTTTGGCACATTCAGGCTCGTAACGTCTGGCAATTTTACAACACCGCTAAACCAAAGCACCGTTGAATCAGTGCCTTTTATCACGCAGATAAATGTGTTCTGGAGCTCCTACTTGTTGCATTAAGTTAAGAAACTGCATTGCTTCACACTCTGATCAATGCACAATTTTATACATAGGTTTCTTTTGGGACACTTGTGTGTAGTTTCACGCAAAACAAATTTATTTGTAACCAGATGAATCTTCTATTTTGTAACTTGTCTTTCATTCCACCCTGTTTCTGCAGAATGCTCTGTCATCTATTCATAGTTTTGTAATTTGTCTCTTTTGTACACTTTGTGTTGATGTGAGAGTGCTGTCTTGTCTTGGAGGCCATACACTTGTTTCCAAATGTCTTGTAAAACCAAAAAAAGTAGCKAATCAGAATCAATGATGACAGGGCAGAGATGTCGACCAATCAGCACAGAGGAAGTTATTTAAGCAGAATGTTCCACATGGTTGGATCAACTGCACCCTGTGGAGGTTAGATGAAGTCATTTTCATGCTAAAGAACTTTTTTTTTTTTAGTCACGAACAAGCATCAGGAAGTCAGTCTGATCACCCTCAGTGCCAAGAGGATGATAGATGGCACATCTGCGTTGTTGCAAAATGCAGAGCCAGCAGAGGCGATGTTGATATTTTGTACGGAGCAATAATCACAATGACAGCCTGCTGCAGTTTCCCCAGCATAAAAAGTCCCAGTAAAGAAAATTGAACTGCAATTTTTACTGCATCAATTTAACAATTTTTCTTGCTGATTCTGCTTATTTTTTAATGTGTGACCCTGTAGCAAAAGTGAGATTTTTCAGATCATCAGAGAAAGTTAGCATGTGGTACATCCTGTAGTCTGAACCATTTTAATAAGCTGCCAGTACATCATTACACTAAACCACATTCCAAACAAGAAAATGAATCATCCATCCATCCATCCATCCATCCATCCATCCATCCATCCATCCATCCATCCATTCACCCTTCCTTCCTTCCTTCCTTCCTTCCTTCCTTCCTTCCTTCCTTCCTTCCTTCCTTCCTTCCTTCCTTC